AGACCAATCAATTTTCTGGAGTATACAATAAGCATATATTTAAAAGAAGACCAATCAATTTTCTGGAGTATACAATCAACATATCTTTAAAAGAAGACCAATCAATTTTCCCGAGTATACAATAAACGTATCTTTAAAAGAAGACCAATCAATTTTCTGGAGTATACAATCAACATATCTTTAAAAGAAGACCAATCAGCTTCATGACAACTCGAAAATGTTTTGCAAGGAAGTAGTTGGGAGTAGGAGTTCCCTGGTAACAAGTTGAAAACGGATGAGTAGATGATCATTTCGAAAAAGTACAATAACGGTATTCCGTTTGTAGTAGTTGATTTAGGACATGCATAAGATGGAATTCACATAACGGATCCATGAATGTACTCTAGGTGAAGAAGGCCAGAAACAGTTCCTCAGTCTCTGAAACCTAGATGGTATAGCAATTGTAAGTATACGGAATGAAAAATAAATAGGAATCAAAAGGTGTTCCCTAACTGGTATCTAGGTTTCATATCCTATACCCATCCATTCCACCTCGTCTTATTACTAGTGGGTTGTTACTCTAGTGTAAAATGTAACAATTAACCACGTAGACAAATTCGATCTACAAAAAGAGTAATTAAGTGAAACACAATCAATAAATTGACCACAAAACATTTATTCTAGACGTATTTGCTGCTGTTGTTTTAAAAGAGTACATATTTATAAAAAGAAATCCAAAAATAGGTTTCTAACCGACCTAACCATCCTAGTTCTCATAACCGTTGAAAATTGAAATAATAAGTTAAAATAGAATAGGTAGCCTGCATTTTGATTTTGGAAGCAGATTTGGCTGTCAAAAATGATAAGTTACAGTGTTGATTATTAAAATAAACAGAAATAGTAAAACATATGGTAATTTTGCTTGCATTTCATCACCATATGAACCTATATTTATAGTAGATTTGACAAATTTGTACTACTACTATATTCTTCTGAATTATTCAGCAGACAAGGCGTTCAAGATACTAAAAATAAACATGAAGCCTATTGTATTATTCGATTCATCACATGTCACTAGGTTATACCGGTTTCATGGAACACCATAAATATAACATACATCTCATCACTACAAGAAGCCTACCCTTGCTCTGTAATTTCTCATTCTCCAGGATAACCGGTGAGGGGTGGAATTCCCCGAAACCAATATAACCCAGTGACAGAACTAAAACAGGTCGGTGACAATATTGATTTATTCTAGCATTTAGACATTACGGATCGGTTTGATTATGATACATAGTTAATCTATGACGGTCGTACAATAGATCAATAATATAATGATTTTATTAAAGCATTTAGATGTACGGGGTTAGTTATATCTTAGTGTATTATAGCCATAACTACAATGAATGTGATATGTCTAAAGTTTTTTATAGCAACTACTCACTGTGAAACTATTCGTATCTTAGCGAGGCAAGTACTTGCAATGAACTAGTTATATCTTAATGTATTATAGCCATAACTACAATGGATGTGGTATGTAGGTTTTCTTATAGCATTTGGTTTCAGTAAATTAGTTATATCTATATATATAACTATATGCTCGTAGCATATACAAATAATGATATTTAACTATATTTTTTATATAGTAATTAATTGGATCAGTTATGCCCTAGATTGCTGTAGTATAAAACAACATTGTTGAATAAAAATTAAAGAATAGGTTAAACAATCGCCAAGTTTTTTATATATTTGTATTCGAAGAGGACGACGTTCCGAGCTAGCGCTCTTCGTCAGATACAGCATTATTGACTAGTTCAGTTATATCACAAACTTATACAGCTTAAACAATATGTTACTGGAAATACGGGAGAAGATCTTTCCTTACAATTCACATGGTATTGTAATACTGCAGGATGGGAAAGAACTCAAAGTAAGACGATTGTAAAAACTTCTTTTTTAAATTTCTTTAAGCATTTAATTGATTAGTAATTATATTAATGCAAGGTTGCTTGAACAATAAAAGAGTTGAACAATCTAGTTAACGATTTGCTTGAAGATTAACTTATTATTTAATAGTACGTTTATTCAGAACATAGTCAGTGAGAATATTCTCTCTAAGAAGCTTACCTGCAAGGTTACAACTGTTAATAATTATTTTAACACATTACTACTATAGGTTTCATTGCCGAGTAGGAAGAAAAATAGAGCACGATGCGATAAGATGACTAAAGAGCCACTTAATATAACAATAAATGAAATACTTCATTGAAACACTTTTAATTAACTACTGATTATAGAAGTTATGGTTCGACTCCTAATTTTATAAATAATATTTAAATACCAAAATCCAATGAAAGTTTTCTACAAACTTTGCGAACAACAGGAAATTAAAATAAAACAACTGTTACGAATTAGAATTTTAAATGGTCTGACATTGAGTTAACTAATAATTTAAATTTAGTAGTTAAATTGTACTTTGGATTTAGTATTTAAATAAATGCCGATATATAGTCTGTTTGTAATACTGTCAACAAGATTGACACACAGTTTCCTTTTTTTACACATATACGTTTTAATATATATACACAACAATACAATTCACAACAACAGT